CTTAAGTGGAAGCCTAAGGTGGCCTCTCTGATCAATAGAATCATATTACAGTAAACTGGAACCTGTAATTAACTCTGAATGGTTTCCACCTTTTCTTTCAGAAAGACAAAGAAGGCAGCAAACAAACAGAAAAACTAGTTGCATTAATTTTTATCCTAAAATCTATTACTATGGTAGGTTTCTCGCTCAGCAAATCTGTAAATTGCCCACAGTTTAACACCTCTTGCACTAGAAAATTAGCACTGATGTTCAGAGTGATCTATTTGAAATCCTATAAAACCTCAAAGAAATATATTAAAAAGTATACATAACTCTTGGGCCCAATGAGATCTTGACTGAATTTTGACTCTACTGTTTTATAATGTGCTCTATGAATTGGAGCAAGTTATTTGTATAACTTGCAACAAGTTATCTAAGATTTTCAATGCTTTATCTTTCTTATCTATTAAAATGAGGCAAGACCATCTCAGAGGGGTTTTCTGGAGTGGGGAGTGGGGTCAAATAATATCAATACATGCAATATTCTTAGCATAGTATCTTGTACAGAATACCAAAGTATTCAAAAAATGTTCTTGGATTTTATAGTGGTGGTGGTAGGTAGTAAGTAGTGACAAAAAAAACTAACAATGGTGAAAACTGAAAAGAGGTTCTACATAAACCTTTACAATAAGACACAGCAATGACATTATACCCCTGAATTTCAACATAACTCAATCTTTTCTACATGAAATCTGCAATATATCAAGGATCAAATATATTTTCATATATATTTTATGTGAAGAATAAATGCTCTTTATAAATGCGCACGTCCTAAAAAATATTAGAAAGATACATGAGCAAAAGGTAGACAACTAGAATATTTGAAAGTCTTTAAAAAATTATATGCCCTTTTTCATGAAGAATATTTTGTCCTCTGAGTTAATATACAAACAAAAAAGTGAGCCTGAAAATAAAGGTAAACTCTTCTTTGCATTTCAGCTTAAGATGATTACAAGATTATAAAATTTTCACTTTGCCTTCCAATAAATCATAATCTACTAGGAATAAATATCCAACCCTGTTCTTAAACATTTCCCAGATGGCTCTGGATAACTATACTCTTAATCAATATTATTGGGCATAAACTAATGAGTCAAGAAAATGAAATAAACTGCATACCTTTGGAGTAAAAATTAGAATAGTTTCAGAATTTGCGTTCAGCAGGCAAGTATTTAATCTCTGTTTCTATTTCTCTGTTCAGAGGATAAAGCATTCTACTCTGTAGAATCAGTTGCTAATATTCATCAACATTTTAATTATATAGTAGTGACAAGTGAAAAACAGCTTCTGTTATTACAGAAGTCCATTTTGCTAAAATAGTGACAAAGTTTTTATTTAAAAAATATATTCCATGCACACATTTAAAAGAGAAATATTTAAAATTTCAGAGGTAAAGGGGAAACTAAAAATCATATAGTCACCCTGGGTTCCCATGCTGAGAAAATCAAAGTAGACTCCAAAGGACTACCAACCACCCAAAATTGATGGTAAAATTTTATGTACAGGTATATTTTTATGGAAAGAAAGTCCAACCACAGCTTAAAATAGATTTTCAAAGAGATATGTAATCCAAACTTCTGTAAACATAAATGTCTGAAGGTTTTTCCCCTAAGGTTAAACTCCATAGCAATCTGTACATTCATCATCATACTGTACTGCACTGTATCATAACTACCTCGTAATTTCTGTATCCCTACTGACAAATAAATTGCAGAAATAGAGCAGGAAGCAACTCTGCTTTGTTCATGGCTATAATCCCAGTATTCTGCCAGGTGTCTCTCATGTAACAGATGATCAATTACCATATCTAAACTAAATGAATCAATCATTCACTTGCATAATTAAATTTGGGCCAATTTTTTTAAAGTGCTTTCTAAATAAATATTCCAATTACATACTCTTAGTAAGAACTTATAATTCAATTAAAATAATTTTATATTTAAGCTAAAGTGAAAGTTGCTCAGTCGTGTCTGACTCTGACACCATGGACTTTAGCCTGCCAGGCGCCTCTCTCCATGGAATTCTCCAGGTCAGAATACTGGAGTGGGTAGCCATTCCCTCCTCCAGGGGATCTTCCCAACCCAGGGATCAAACCCAGGTCTCCCACATTGTAGGCAGATTCTTTACCGTCTGAGACATCAGGGAAGCCCAAGAATACTGGAGTAGGTAGCCTATCCCTCCCAGGAATGAAACCATGGTCTCCTGCATTGCAGGCAGATTCTTTACCAGCTAAGCCACCAAGAAAGCCCATATTGAAGATTTCATTCAGTTAAGCAGGCCTGCAAAGTCCTTGTTGAAGTCCTATCTGCTGGAAAACCCTCCTAAATCTTTTACTACGGAGTGACTACAGAGAAGTTTTATGGAAGATGTGCTCTGTGACATAATACATTCTGAAGGTTTTCAGAATTCATTAAGAAATTTTGATGACTTACAACTGGTCTGATCTGATCATTTGACATGATCACACATAAAATAACTAAAACCCTAATTTTAAAGGTATTTTCAAAATAGAGCCTCAAAAGAAATTTGGTCTCTTCCATCATCATGTGAAATTTTTTGCAATGTGATAGACTGCAAAAGAGAAATGAATTTCAGTAATTATCGAATTTAAAACTTAATTCAATAGCTTTTAAAATGAAGTGGTATTCCTTTCTCCACTTTCTCTACTTTGACATAAAGCCGTTTCAACATTTTCAAAATGCTATCAGTTTCAAAGTTGTGACTGGCCCTTTATCAATTTTATCTACTAGAGAATTTAATTTTACTTCTTTATCCAAATATCTCTTTCAGAATTTTCCACAGTTTATTGTGATCTACACAGTCAAAGGTTTTGGCATAGTCAGTGAACCATAAATAGATGTTTTTCTGGAACTCTCTTGCTTTTTCAATGATCCAGCGGATGTTGGAAATTTGATCTCTGGTTCCTCTGCCTTTTCTAAAACCAGCTTGAACATCTAGAAGTTCACAGTTCATGTAATGCTAAAGCCTGGCTTGGAGAATTTTAAGCATTACTTTACCAGAGTGTGAGATGAGTACAATTGTGCAGTAGTTTGAGCATTCTTTGGGATTGCCTTTCTTTGGAATTGGAATGAAATCTGACCTTTTCCAGTCTTGTGGCCACTGCTGAGTTTTCCAAATGTGCTGACATATTGAGTGCAGCACTTTCACAGCATCATCTTTCAGGATTTGAAATAGCTCAACTGGAATTCCATCACCTCCACTAGCTCTGTTCATAGTGATGCTTCCTAAGGCCCACTTGACTTCACATTCCAGGATGTCTGGCTCTAGGTGAGTGATCACACCATCGTGATTATCTGGGTCATGAAGATCTTTTTTGTACAGTTCTTCTGTGTATTCTTGCCACCTCTTCTTAATATCTTCTGCTTCTGTTAGGTCCATACCATTTCTGTCCTTTATTGAGCCCATCTTTGCATGAAATATTCCCTTGGTATCTCTAATTTTCTTGAAGAGATCCCTAGTCTTTCCCATTCTACTGCTTTCCTCTATTTCTTTGCATTGATCATTGAGGAAGGCTTGCCTGTCTCTCCTTGCTATTCTTTGGAACTCTGCATTCAAATGGGTCTATCTTTCCTTTTCTCCTTTGCTTTTCGCTTCTCTTCTTTTCACAGCTATTTGCAAGGCCTCCTCAGACAGTCATTTTGCTTTTTTGCATTTCTTTTTCTTGGGGATGGTCTTGCTCCCTGTCTCCTGTACAATGTCACGAACCTCCGTCCATAGTTCATCAGACCACCTGACCTGCCTCTTGAGAAACCTGTATGCAGGTCAGGAAGCAACAGTTAGAACTGGACATGGAACAACAGACTGGTTCCAAATAGGAAAAGGAGTACATCAAGGCTGTTTATTGTCACCCTGCTTATTAACTTATATGCAGAGTACATCATAAGAAATGCTGGGCTGGAGGAAGCACAAGCTGGAATCAAGATTGCCGGGAGAAATATCAATAACCTCAGATATGCAGATAACACCACCCTTATGGCAGAAAGTGAAGAACTAAAGAGCCTTTTGATGAAAGTGAAAGAGGAGAGTGAAAAAGTTGGCTTAAAGCTCAACATTCAGAAAACTAAGATCATGGCATCCAGTCCCATCACTTCATGGCAAATAGATGGTGAAACAGTGGAAATAGTGTCAGACTTTATTTTCTGGGGCTCCAAAATCACTGCAGATGGTGACTGCAGACATGAAATTAAAAGATGCTTACTCTTTGAAAGGAAAGTTATGACCAAATTAAACAGCATATTAAAAAGCAGACATAACTTTGCCAACAAAGGTCTGTCTAGTCAAAGCTACGGTTTTTCCAGTAGTCATGTATGGATGTGAGAATTGGACTATAAAGAAAGCTGAGCATCGAAGAATCGATGCTTTTGAACTGTGGTGTTGGAGAAGACTCTTGAGAGTCCCTTGGACTCCAAGGAGATCCAACCAGTCCTTCCTAAAGAAGATCAGTCGTGGGCGTTCATTGGAAGGACTGATGTTGAAGCTCAAACTCCAATATTTTGGCCACCTGATGCGAAGAGCTGACTCATTTGAAAAGACCCTGATGCTGGGAAAGATTGAAGGTGGGAGGAGAAGGGGACGACAGAGGATGAGATGGTTGGATGGTATCACCAACTCAATGGACGTGAGTTTGGGTAAACTCTGGGAGTTGGTGATGGACAGGGAGGTCTGGTGTGCTGTGGTTCATGGGGTCGCAAGGAGTCGGACACAACTGAGCGAATGAACTGAACTGATTCAAATATCTCTGTAAATATTGGTCCTTATTATTTTTTTTTTATTTTAGTAAGACTAAAATTTCAGAGTGATAATATTAAACAGGTCAATCTAGAAGAAAAAATACCCATGTAACTCTAAATACATTCATACTTTTTCAGTTTTCATTACACACTAAAATTTATCCTTTGAAAATTTAACATTATTTCTAATGGTTTACTTAATGAACATACCGGAAGCTATGAATGCCCTGAAGTTCCTGCTGTAGAACCTCTTGTGTTGTTGCTATTAAGTCCAATGCTCCAACAAATTCAGAAGTAGATAACAACACCTGTACTGTAGGCTGAGTCTGGTGTACAGTGGCCATTAATTTCAGTTTATTATATACTTTAACACAATTATTTCTGGTAAGTGCCAGTCTTAAAATGTGTAGTGATCCTTCACACATTACTTTATCAATCTGTGCAATTTTATCTCGAAGCATTTTTACAGCCTGGGAAGTTTTCTTGAGGTAGTCCTGCAATTCGTGTTGAGAGGTCATTGCATGAAAAAATGCTTCTGAACGTAGAGAGATCTGGTGAGCAATGTTTACTTCCACAATATCCAGATAATGGCTCAGCTTAAGAGGAAAGAAAAAAAAAATCATAGAATTATACCTTAACTATCCAAATGTTTTCTGAAAATGATACAATATTTCTACATGTATTTTAAATCCCATTTTGTGAACCATTAGATTATACAATGCTTGATACTAGGCACACAAAATAGAAAGGTGATGAAAGGTAGAGCCCCAAAATTAATAAATGTAACACAAAATCATAGAAGGTGATTTACCTTCTTCCTCTGCTCCTGCCATTACTGCCCTCCAAACACCAACTACTTTCTAGAAAATAAAAGTACCCCACAGTCACCTCAGAGTATAACCTAGTTTCAGAAGTTCCAAAATCTGAGAGAGAGAAGATTGATTTCCTTAACCTCTACACATCACTATTACCAATATCAAGTCATTTATCTGACTGAAAGATAATTATAGGTTATCATTTATTGACTTCTTCCTTCTATGTATCAGGCACTGGTATTTTTTATATATGTATACATATACATATATATAAAATTTACTAATTTTAACAGTCTTAGAATACAGGTTTTATTATTATTTTCTTTTACAGATGAAGATACTAAGGCTCAGAAACATTAAATTACTTGAATAAAGTCATATAATTAGTAAGCAGAAAAACTGAAATTTAAGCTCAGGTTTGTCTAACTCAAAAACTGAAGTTCTTTCTACTGCACCATGCTGCCTCAAAACACTACAGAATTCATGAAAGACTGGTGATCAAGTCACCAATTGTAGAATGTACCAGAATTCATTTGGATCTTTTTTTTTTCAGGGCTATTTATTTTACATTTCAGCAATTATTCTTTTATCAATTTGTAAAATCCAGGTTATTTCCAATGTGCTTTCCTCTTAAATGATTGATAGATGCCTTAAACAATTAATTCATATATATTTTATCAGTAACACTATCAAAATTAATTCCTAGAGTAACATATATTAAAAATGCTTTTTAATTTCAAATATGGACTCCTAAAACTTGAGTTGTCTTTTCTTCCTTCAAAACTGCATATATCTTTTTTTGGCTACATTATCTTTCTATTTCTCTCCCACTTTTTTACTTTTAGAATCTTCAACCCATAGCTCAAACTTTAAGAATTGTCTCTGAACATCTCAGAAAAATTCACAGTTAAAGGGTTAATGGGCTTTCCTACATTTAGGACTCATAAAATTAGGAGATTATTTGGTCACCAAGCTTGTTTCCTTAAAACTATGCAGGATGATGCATATCTTCAGTAAGACTCCTTCAATAGTCTATTCATAAATAGGTTACAAACAAGACATTCCTTTATAGTTTAAATCTCTTGATTTATACTCTTTTGCTGTTGTTCTTTTTATCTTCAATGACTGCTCATTTATTTACCTAAAAAGCAATATGGGGATGAAAGTACTTAGGTACATCACAAGCTAAGGTAACTCAATTTTCAGGAAATAGAGAACAAGGAACTCCTTTAGGACAGTGCTACTCGGGATGCAGTTCATATGCTGCTGCCAGTTTGCAAACCGTTCAGAGGTCCATGACAAAATAAGGAACTTTGCTAGAATTTTACATAGAAAGACTTTGTTAATGAAGGAAGCAGTGCAATGATTTACATTCTAAAGCAAATTCGTTAATCTCATCGCAGAACACAACTTTGGATAGCAGAACTACAATAAGATATAAATTTCTCTAATCCTTGCTAGCATCCCCTCTTTAAAGCTAGCAAGATAAAAAGAATTGTCATCAATCATATAGTGAGTCCGAATCCTGTCTTGGAATCCTGTTTTCCATTCCTTTCCTAAGAATAGAGAAGAGTGAGAAGGAAACAAAATGTAAAAGTAACAAAGCTGATTTTGCAACTTACCAAAAAAAAAAAAAATTCCATTAGTCACTCTAACATTTAGCATGAGAAAAGTGTTTCATTTGAGTTTCAAAGATTTTTGCAATTTATCAATATTCCATTGATATATTCTTTTCAAAGACATAATATTTTCATAATTCATTTCCTATTAAAATTCTATAAAAGGAACAATTTTTTAAAGTATTCATAAAAGTATTTATATAGATTGATGAAATTTTTATTGGCTTCTGTTGTTTTTCTCTTTTAAGGTATACAAGGGTATATACTTGGAATGTAAAAAAGCAGTCTGGGAGTGAGCCTATGTCCATAAATCTATCCTTTTCCTAAGATTTATGAATTTATTTTTACTCAAGGAAAACCATTTCATAGATGAAAATGTTGCCCAAAAAAAGGGGGGGGGACTCATTTTCAACTATGAGGAAGGCATACTCATAATTCGGTCCTCACATTTCTTCTCCTCTCCTAAGTCGCCCTTTCTTCAGTTGAAGAGGACTAGACCCAACTTATTGAATAGCCCACATGAGACAAGCTTTCAGACTGCCAAGATCTGTCATTAGACTACAACAGAATGCTTCACCTCAGTTTAGGAACCACAGTCAGTTTCAGGAATGTTCTAAACTGAGCACTAGGAAAGAACAGAGATCAAAGGTCTTTACTTCCTATTCCAGTTTTAAGAGTCTTGATACGTGAGTTCTGTTTAAAGTTTTACATTTTAAATGACTTTCACGTGTTGACTTCTGAAATATAGACCATTATAAAATTTTGAAAAACTGCAGACATGCAAAAGGCTAGGCTTTGCAAAGCTTTGCAAAGCTAAATGAACACTGTAATTTTTAACTATGATATTTTTGCTTCAAAATAATCATTACTATGTGTAAAGGAGGAAAAACAGTTTCTTAGGAAAAGTTCATTTTCTGTGATTTAAGTCATAAAGAATATAAAATTAGCCAATATATTGTTGGGAATAAATGTAAAACAACTGCGTTATCTACTACATCCTTTCATCTGAATTTCTGTCAACTGCTGATTCAGATAAGAAGCACTCAAACAATGAGCTTTTCCTTTTCAACAGCACAACTGGTATACTGCATTGAAACAAAATACTGTTACTTTATCAGTTAAGATTTAAAGGGTTCAGATTTTCAGTAACAATAAAGATGAAATTAAAGGAATTAGTGCCTACTAAATAACTAACTATGAAAACACACAAATATTGGGTTGGCCAAAATATTCATTCAGGTTTTTCTATACGATATTACAAAAAATCTGAATGAATTTTTTGGCCAACCCAATTGTATCATTTAATTAAAATAAGTTTTCTACATGGAAAAAATAAAAATTACCTTTTCTTGTAGCAACTTTGAGGAAGCTGCATCTCGATTTCCTTTTCCACCAGCAGTATTAAAATGAGACCATGGTAAAACTGAATTAAAAGTTAAGGAATCATCCAAGGCAAAATCTGGTTTCATAAAAATCTAATAAAAAAATGCATTTCCCTCAATTAGATAAACATTTTCTTTACATCTAATATCCCCTTCATTAAAATAATTAACTTGAATCTCAGACATATACAGAAAAAAGCAGTAATAATAAGCTATGTATACAAAAATCTATCTCTGGATTACAGCAAATGGCTACTTACTGATATATCCTTCCCTAATCTATGCTCTATACTACTGTCAGACATACCATTAAAATGCAATTGTAACTATTATAATCAACTTCTCTTTTTAAATTTCTCAGTGAATTCCCATGACTGACAGACCAAACTCTCTTAGAAAGGTATAAAGAGCTTTATTTACCTCATACTTTACAAAATTTATTTAACCCCATCCCTGAACACAAGGGGCTTTCCTTGTGGCTCAGCTGGTAAAGAATCCACCTGCAATGCAGGAAACCTGAGTTTGATCTCTGGGTTGGGAAGATACCCTGGAGAAGGGAAAGGCTACCCACTCCAGTATTCTGGCCTAGAGAATGATATGGACTATACATTTCATGGGGTCACAAAGAGTCAGACATGACTCAGTGACTTCTACTTTCACTTTTCTAAACACAAGTATACCATGTATACTTATTTATCTCATACGTCATAAATATTACTTATTTAATATGTACATCTCTCCCCAGAGACAATATGTTTCTATAAGATTGGATTTACAGATTATTAATCTTTGTATTCCAGCACACAGAATAAGGCTTGAAACATGTTTTAATCAATTAATTTCTTAATTAATTTCTATATTTTACTATATTCACTGATTCATATGACCCATATCCAAAATTAGTATGAATATGATTGGGAAAAGATTGAAGGCAGGAAGAGTAGGAGAAAACAGATGATGAGATGGTTGGATGGCATCACCAACTCAATGGACATGAGTCTGAGCAAGCTCCAGGAGTTGGTGATGGACAGGGAAGTCTGGCGTGCTGCAGTCCATGGGGTCACAAAGAGTCGGACATGACTGAGCAACTGAACTGAACTGACTGATGATTGGGAAATCTCCCTAGGAACTCATGTTCCTCCCTAGGAACTAGGGACATGAGTATACTTTCTAATCCCTCTAGTATAACTAAAAGGATTGATTAATTCAATACATGTTTATGATTATGATTTATTCTTATGCTAGGCACTAAAGTGGAAACAAAGCTAAATTATTACAGAGATCCTAATTTCAAGGATCTTTTTGCCACAGAGATGTGACAAAACATATACATAAATATTTTATAAGGAAAAGAGTGACAAATGTCTTAAAAGGGACAGTAGGGATCTAGATAAAATGCTATTAGAGTTTGGCAAAGGGTCTAATGATCTTCATTTGGGGGAAATGTATTCATACAAGTTGCCATTTAAGCAAGAAACTGTACAAGATTAGATATGGAGAGGTAAAAGTCTTTCAGGCTAAAGGAACAGTGCAAATAAAGCGTGGAGCCAGCAAAAAAGTTTGAAGTTAAAAATGTGTAAAAAAGAAAAAATAAAGAATGTCTAAGATTAGCGGCAAAAGTTAAGAGTATGACTATGAAGGAAATGAATAATAAGGGCCTTAAATGACAAGAGTTTGAATTTTGTTTTGTAGAAATCAAAGAATTTTAAACATGACTGCCCTTTCCTCTTTCTTTCATCTTTCTGTCTCTTCTTACCCTAAAAACAATTATCATAGACCTTTGAGAATCTGATGAATGCAATGGACTCTTTCCCCAGAAAACAAAAACACACTCATCTATTACACGCCTCTACAAAAATTTTCATACAAAGAAACATCTCTAATAATTTGGTGGGGTAATAAGATCAATGGGGGCTTCCCAGGTGGCTTAGTGGTAAAGAATCGGCCTGCCAGTGAAGGAGATGCAGGAGATGTGGGTTCAGTCTCTGGGTTGGAAGATCCCCTGGAGGAGGAAATGGCAACCTGCTCCAGTAGTCTTGCCTGAAAAAATCCCACAGAGGAGCCTGACAGACTACAGTCCATGGGATTGCAAAGAGTCAGATACAACTGAGCAACTGAGGATGCAATAAGATCAACATTTTTTTTTTTTTAATGAAGAGATTTAAACATATTTGTAGGTTTTGGTGATAAAGAAGAGACTGATAATGCAAAAGAGAGTGAATAAAAGTGATGCAACAAAGTCCCAGAAAAATCAAAGTGGTCAAAGTGTCAGAAAACAGCCCAGTGAAAGTTTCTTTCAAGACAAAATTAAAGATCAAATATTAAAAAGCTATATTCTCATTTTTCAGGCTTTGTTACCTTAGGTACTTGCTCCAGATCTGTCCTGGATTTATCTATTTTTAAAAAGAAAAGGAAAAATATGATTTTTTAAAACTTGTTTTCACTTTATTTCTATAAAATATATTTTGACCGATTCAACACTATACTAGGTCACAACTAAATAACCACTTATGTTTCTTTCTTCAATAAATAAACACCTCCTTATGTCTAGTAGTAGGCAAAGTGCTGAATAAGACATGTTTCAGATAATTTTTATCAATTGTATAGTAGCAATAAAACAACTAAATACATTTCAAATCTTCTTAAAATGGACACAGAAAGCTTGGTACTATCTTATAGAAATACTGTTTTTATTGTTCAAAATATTCACCATCCCATCCAGAATTTCTTTGATCAAAGTTTTTTTAATACCATATTAGTTTCCTTCTTAGACATCTTAATTTGTATTATCTACAAGCTTCTTGAAAATGACCCTCCTTTGTCTCGCCAATCAGATGTCAAGATAAGGCACCCTCCTTTCCAAACTGAGCTTTCTGTACTTGGACTCCATTCCCTTCTGCCTCTTCTCTGAGCTCACTTCATCAACTACCCTGCCTCTCCATACTTTTAACCCTTAGAAGCCCTTTCCTCTTGGCATACAAACATGCTCAGTTCTCTTCCATCAAAAAAAAAAAAAAAATGATGATGAAGAAAGATAAAAGCCAGGGCCTAGAGCAGACTAAGGCAAAGGAGAATCTCAGGTGCAAAATTTCAGGAAGCACTCACTCTCAGGATTATGAAAACATCTCTCTTGCCTCATCTAATCCTGGCCTTGCAAAAACATCCTCCTACCACAACTACTTGTAGAAACAAACTAGAGGGATTCTGTTCCCTCTAGTCAAAACTTTACATCTCAGATCTTCAAGACACATTCATACTGGCAGTCTCCACTTCTTACTTTTATACTTGCTCCTTAGCACACAGTATTAACGTTTCTGTGACCACTACTCCAGTCTACATGTTCTCCTTAAGATCTCCCAAATTGCCAAATCCATAGAGATGTCTCAGTGTGCCAACTTGCTCTATCCCTGAAGTATTCTGACACTGTGGACTAATCATTCACATTTATTTGAAATTCTAGCTACCTTTTATTTCTAAGGTGGAACTCTCTCTTGGCTGACTCTCCTACTCTCTGACTACTACTTTTTAGTCTCCAAATACCTCATTTTCTACTGCCATTTAAATGTGACAGCTTTCTAGTGTTCTATCATTAGTTCTTTTCTCCTTACTACTCATATCTTCCTAGGTGATCCCACCTAAGCCCCTGGATTCAACTACCATACTATTGGCCAGCATGTGGTCTATGATAACATCTATTATACTTGCTACCTCCAGCCTAGATTTCTTTGCTGAGCTTTGGGTTATATACCAGACTTCTCCTTCTCTGCAAAACTTCAATTAAACCACCCTCCATCTTCTCCAGAATTCCTCCTCTTCCAGTATTACCTCTCTCACCAAACTGTACCTCTCACCTAGCCAGCTGTCCAAGTAAAAAATCTGGGAATCATCCTTTAACCATCTTGCTCCATTCCTAACGAACGACTGACAACCAAAACTTGTGTCTCCATTTCTGAGGCATATCTTAAAGATCTAATTTCCTCTCCATCTTCATTATAACTGCTATTAGGGACACATGATTCCTCAGTTGTATTATGGCAATAGCCTTCAACTGTATTCTTGCCTCCAGTTTTATCATCGCCTATAAATTTACTATCCACAACTGTTTTTACAGTGAAATGAATAATCATAACTCTGAGCATGTCTGATTTAAAATATTTTGGAGCTCTACACTACTTTTAGAAAAGAAAAATTCCTTTAGCATGATATACAAGGCTCTTCATCCTACCTACTTCTTCAGCTCATTTCTGGTTCCCAGTAGAGCCAGCATACTAAGTTCCTGCAGGTCTAGAACATGCTAATTTCCCTTTGACTCTATGACTTTGCATAAACTGTTTCCTTTCCTGGAATGCCTTTTTCCACATAAATATTTCTTGATAGTTTAACACACAGACAATACTCATTAACTAGGAGTTTTCATAAACCTAAGTTAGGAACTCTTTACAATATTATCATGCTGAACTTACTGCTCAATACAGTGCTGCAACTGGTTTGTTTAACCTTGTTCAGGAGACCATCAGCTTCATGAGGCTAGGGACTATTTCTTATTCATGTATTTTTAGGTAACAAGCAAAGTACAAAGCATCTGACTATTAAATAAGTATTTATTGAACTGAAGGATAACACTACCATCAGATCCATGATTTTTCTTTTTAACAAAAGATTTACAAAAGATTATGTTTTACAAAAGATTATGATTGTAGGCTATACAAATTTTGCTAGAAATAAAAATTAAGTATTACAGTTAACAAGATCCCCAAATTAAGATTCTGTACTACTAACAGCACATATTCTTACCATGAGTATGTAAGAGAGTTCTGTCAAAGGTATCTTTAGGGGGACAAATATTCTTGCATCTCTCGTGAATCTTCTCTCTCTATTAAAAAGACAAATGTTATCAATGCTATGTGGCAATATAAGTATTCAAAGCATTAAAATATTTAACAACAGAATATCAGAATATACCAAATAAGTTCTAAAATTTTCTAATATGAAATCACTAGCCTCTTGAACTTAAATACAAGTAACAAGTATGCTTAATAAACCAAATATCACTTAGATATATGAATGTCTATATACTTACCCATTTTATACAGTTATAGCAAAATCTCCATAAACGTGGAATGAAGTGGAAAAATCAATTTTAAAAAACCCTTATTTTTATAACAGAAATCAATGAAGAAAACAACTTTCAGGGGACTTCCCTGGTGGCCCAATGGTTAAGAATCTGCCTTTTAATGCAGGGGACATGGGTTCAATCCCTGTGGAGGAACTAAGATCTCATATGCCTTGGAGCACCTAAACCAGTGAGCTGCAACTACTGAAACCCCCACACTCTGGCACCCACCCACAACTAAAGAGAAGCTCAAGCCTGCATGCCTCCCTGAAGTGTCCATGTACTGCAAAAGGAAGATCCCGAATGCCTCAACAAAGACCCAACACAGCCATAGACAGCTATCTGAAAGGAGTTTGCTTGAAACCCATTGGATAAACTTGGAAGAGGCAAGAGGCAACTGGGATGCCTCCAGGGAATGGAGATAATGGGAGCAGACATTTTGGGAGCATGCTGTACTGCAATGACAGCAGTGCTGGTAAGCACCATTTTGGAATCCTCCCTCTAGTCTATTAGCACTGGGAACCCAGCCCTGAGCCCACCCCAGGCTGAGCAGACAGCCACATGGGGATTCAGTCCACCCCTCCAGTAGGCCCATAGCCACTGCCTGAGTCACAACCCCACAGGGGCCATGTGAAGAAGACATACAAATGGTCAACAGACACACGAGAAGATGTTCACATCAGTAATCATCAGGGAAAAGCAAATTAAAACCACAGTGAGATACTACCTCACAACTGTCAGAATAAACCAAACAAGAAATATTTCTTTCACTTTTGACCTACTACTTCAAGATTAGATATTACCTGAGAGATTTCCTGTTGATATACTGTAAAATGTTCCTTGCTGATCTGTGGGAGGTAGAATGAAGGTATGACTTCAGTGTCCACAAAGTCCAATCCCCATGTTTTTGTGAAGAAGTCAGATTCTCTTTTTGCTAATCTAGGATCATTTAATGCTGCTGGGAGATTTACTTTGGAATGATATATAGTCCATCTATGTTGATCTGTAACTAGAGATGGGGCAACACATAAACTATTTGAATCACCTGCAAAAAGTAAACAAGAGAACTTTGTAAAGTAAGTTTTATGTTTGAAAGCACATTCTAGAAAAACAGATGTTTAGGTTATACAAAGCAACTAAACTCTCCCTTCTATACCAATTGTCTTAACCGTCAGCTTTCAATATCAACTGCCAAAGGGGAGGAAAAAAATGTACAAGATAAAGGATATACAAAATTTGAGGGTTATAACTGAACAGTGGGGTGAAGAAAGTCTTTCATTAATCTCTTACTTTAACATACAATTAAGGAAATTTATCTTTTTTCAAAATAAAAACATTTTTTCAACATCAAAACTCTTCTACCTTCTACTGTATATCTTCTATTCTTTATTACTCCAGATTTTTTCATGGGTAGGCATATTTCTCTTTTGTTTTATGGCAGACCTGGCTCCAATATCCTTTTTTTCAGCTTATAATTAAACAACTGAAATGCTGCTGTAACATTAACCATAGAGGAAAGAAAAACATGCAGTTGGTTCTCGTTACTCGGTTTGTTCTATAAAGTCACTAGAACACGTAATAAGCAAATAATGAATCTTTGTTCCCATGGGATATACAGGGTTCAGTTCAGTTCAGTCACTCAGTCGTGTCCGACTCCTTGTGACCCCGTGGACTGCAGCACGCCAGGTCTCCCTGTCCATCACCAACTCCCAGAGTCTACTCAAACTCATGTCCATTGAGTCAGTGATGACATCCAACCATCTCATCCTCTGTCGTCCCCTTCTCCTCTCTCCTTCAATCTTTCCTAACATCAGGGTCTTTTCAAATGAGTCAGTTCTTTGCATCAGGTGGCCAAAGTATTGGAGCTTCAGCTTCAACATCAGTCCTTCCAATGAATATTCAGGACTGATCTCCTTTAGGATGCACTGGTTGGATCTCCTTGCAGTCCAAGGGACTCTCAAGAGTCATCTCCAACACCACAGTTAAAAGCATCAATTCTTCAGTGCTCAGCTTTCTTGATAGTCCAACTCTCTCATTCATTCATGACTACTGGAAAAACCACAGCCTTGACTAAATGGACCTCTGTCTCTGCTTTTTAATATGCTGTCTAGGTTGTCTAGGTTGGTCATAACTTTTCTTTCAAGGGGTAAGCATCTTTTAATTTCATGGCTGCAATCACCATCTGCAGTGATTTTGGAGCCCCACAAAATAAAGTCTGCCATTGTTTCCACTGTTTCCCCATCTATTTGCCAGGAAATGATGGGACCAGATGCCAGGATCTTTGTTTTCTGAATGTTGAGCTTTAAGCCAACTTTTTCACTTGCCTCTTTCACTTTCATCCAGAGGCTCTTTAGTTCTTCTTCATTTTTAAATGGGGTTATGCATAATACTGGGTTATGCTCCTACAAATCTCTGGAACTTTCATCATCCAATCAACATACAATCTTATTTTGTGTGTGCTTCTGTTTAAAGACACCTTATTTAATATATACTGTTCAGTCTTTAACACTGTACTCATGGTTAATACCACTATAACTTATAACTGAATAAAGCTTACACAACATATTTCCCTCATGTAGCCCTCCTGTGCATAGAATCACTAGAAAGCACTTCAGTGCTATGTTTGGAAACCATTTTGAACAGCAAAATCATGAGCAAAAATACAAAAAAGTGTGGCACTAAACAGACCACAAAAGGGACATGTGTTTACAGCTTAAAAGCTGAAAGAAGGCAGAGTGCTGCTTTGTTCAGTTTCAGGTGGGAACGTGTACATCAGGCAATTCAAATTTTTCACTCCTTTGTGCACGTCTGCAAATGACCATGAAAGTGCCACAAATAGTCATTTGAGGGTTACAACTAAGATTTAGGAATTAGGTAAATTTGCAAATGTAGACTCTGCAAATAATGAGGACTGACTGTACTACGTTTAACTGAAGAGCTTTCAATCTGTACCCTCGTCTTCAATTTTTTTTTCGATTTCTCTAAGTGACTTCTTTTATGAAAACATATAAAAAGAACTATATTCCAATTTCCCAATCAATTTATTTCCAAATTATATGTCATCCTAGTTTTCACATTTACTCTTTTAAGTATATAGAATCTAACTATTCATTTAAAGATAAAAACAAATTCTCAATAAAATTCCTTAAAAAAAAAGAAAAGCATTACCTGTGGGTTCCTTGGGACACACATCTGGCAGTGACTGCACAGGTCGAACGTGTTTTGTCGGGTCTACCTCTTTTTTAAAGAAAACATCACTGCTGCTTCCTTGAGGCACTGGTGAAGAACTGTGGCTTGAAGCCATTGCATAAAATCACCACTCAACTGAAAATGAGCAACAAACAATAATCAAGACACAATACAAATCATAATTCACCTAAAAGTATTATGCATGTCATAAATTTTCTTTCAAAACAGACTATTTAAAATCCATCAAGGTGTAACCATATAATTTGAATACTATTAATTGTGGAAGTCATTCATTATATTTAGTTTGCTAAGAAAGTTATTGGTCCTTGTTTAAAAAGTATTCTCCTCAAAGTGCAATATCCTTAGCCTTTTATCCAAAGTGAAACTAGATATTAAAACTGTAACCAATATATATTAAAATTAAAAACAGTCCATTCAGTCAACAAGTATAGAATTCAGCATTACAGCAAAATGGGTAAATGCACAGAGTTTTGAAATCTGACTGAGCTCATATTCCAGCTTCACTTACCAGCAATATAACCTTGAGAAAATTTACTTAACCTTTGTATGCTTTACTTCATCTGTAAAAATGGAGATGAAAAGCATTCATCTTATAAACATTTTATAAGAATTAAAGGAACAAAAAAAAAAAAAAAGAATTAAAGGAACAGATGTATGTAAAGCATTTAAAACAATGCCTACCTCAAAGTTAGTGTTCACAAATGTCAGTAATCATTATGATTTCAATTACTATGTGACAGTCACTACATTAAATGTTTATAAAAGAAGTATCATTCTTCAAGGTACTCACAATTATTTTAGGTAATCAAAATAATCAAATCCTTGAACAAAACACAAGTTAATCTATGTCTACACTTTTTAAAAAGTACAGAAAGAATTTGTGGGCAAGACAACATAATAAAGGCTACCACGTCAGGTAGGACTTTACAAACGAAGCAATACATAACCTGGATAATGAAGAATATGTATTATTTTATTATCGGACAGTAGAAACTCTTACATTGCTGATCATATGAACCAAACACTAGGCATTTGATAAATATTTTTAATGAAGGAATAAATAAATGAAAATAATCAGAAGCCTTTATTTGAAAAGGCACTTAAGAGATCACCTTGTCTAAGTTTCCCAGTACTAGAGATAAGTTTAGCAAGGCCCAGAAGGACTAGGTGGTTTACAAAGATACATGTGGTTTAACAAGTTTTTTGCAAAGTCAATTTAGGAAATGTGGTGAATAGAAAAACAAGAGTAAGATATAAAAAGCAGAGATATAAGGGTAAGACCGGTGACAAAAAAAGTTATCCACTCTAACTCCTCTGTAGTTTGATAGTAAGTTTAAAATTACATATCCCAGACATCCCAGGATACCTGTTTCAGTCCTGCTAGCACAAAGGAAACACATTCAATTGTGCTATTTCCTGAGACTAGTAGAAACAAGCTGCTAAGAAAAGAACAGAGATAAATAATTTCCTCAAAGTTCCTGAACAGAAAGCAAAAACAGCGTGAACAAAGGTTGAGAGACATGAAATAATCATAAGACTGTATGGAAACTGACTTGGCTAGAGACAAATGTTTGCTGACAAAAATGCTACCAAAAGTGCTGACAAGTAAACCATATTTACACACACACACAAAGACAGTATGGCCAGACTACAGGAGCCATTAGAAGTTTAGGGGGAAAAGAGTATGATGATGAAAATATCTGGGAAAATTAATCAGGGTCTTGATTTGAAAGGCACCACTGGCCCATTGCATTTATACCCTTTTGCAAGGAGATCCAACCAGTCAATCCTAAAGGAAATCAGTCCTGAATATTCATTGGAAGGACTGATGCTGAAGCTGAAACTCCAATACTTTGGCTACCTAATGCAAAGAACTGACTCATTGGAAAAGACCCTGATGCTGGGAAAGATTGAAGGTGGGAGGAGAAGGGGATGACAGGGGATGAGACGGTTGTATGGCATCACTGAGGCGATGGACATGAGTTTGAGTAGGTTCCGGGAATTGATGATGGACAGGGAGGCCTGGTGTGCTGCAGTCCATGGGGTCGCAAAGAATCGGATACGACTGAGTGACTGAACTGAACTGAACATCAGGTATACAGTTCAGTTCAGTTCAGTTCAGTCACTCAGTCGTGTCCGACTGCGACGCCATGAATCACAGCACGCCAGGCCTCGCTATCCATCACCAACTCCCGGAGCTAACTCAAACTCATGTCCATCGAGTCAGTGATGCCATCCAGCCATCTCATCCTCTGTCGTCCCCTTCTCCTCCTGCCCCCAATCCCTCCTAGCATCAGGGTCTTTTCCAGTGAGTCAACTCTTCGCATGAGGTGGCCAAAGTACTGGAGTTTCAGCTTCAGCATCAGTCCTTCCAATGAACACCCAGGACTGATCTCTTCTAGGGTGGACTGGTTGGATCTCCTTGCAGTCCAAGGGACTCTCAAGAGTCTTCTCCAACACCACAGTTCAAAAGCATCAATTTTTTGGCCCTCAGCTTTCTTCACAGTTCCAATTCTCACATCCATACATGACCACTGTTACTTCTGTATAAAAGCATTTGTATGTTTAAGAGAAAAGAAATATCCAAAAGATAGGAAACAGTGATAACAAAGAATCCCATACATTAAGTGTTTGGTAAAGACAATTGTTAAATGTAACATTAAGTCTGTTTAACATTTTTGTTACTTTCAACAAATAAAACAGCTAACATAAACATGTTTTGACACTTAAAGATGTAGGCTACAAATACATAGAAAATGTATTTATGTCAAACACCCATTGCTTGATGTCAGATAAATTAAACATTGATTCCAACAATAGCACATTACCATTTCAATGTATTCTATTTACCATCACATTGTTTTTACAGTGAAAAGAAAGTCTAATTGCCATCTTAGGGATCTAGAAATACCTGGGAAGATGGGGACTTATTAAAAAAACTTTTCTAGATCCTATAAGTTTCTTCTGACTCCTGGGTGGAGAAATAAAGATATCTTATTTACTCTTAAAGTTTTTGAATTGGTTAACATACACAAGTTTCTGGGGTTTTTTCCCCTACACCCTTCCTAATTCCTATGAAAAGAGGGACAATCTCTAGCTATAAAGAGATTATGTAAAACCAGAGTACTACCTACTTGAGTGAGCCCCAATTTTTAACCATCTCTCAAATCCTCTCACCACCCTGTTTTTATTAAGACACAGTAAGAACCAAACTTTGTATTAATAACCACATAACAAGTATGATACAGACATTTAATAAGTGCAATCATTGGTAATAAAACACACTGGATTTATTAAAAAAGCATGGATGTATAAACAAATACAGTACACCTACATGGACTCTAAACCAAACAATTTCAGGAGAATAATCTTTCAAAGAAATAATCTTTCACTGAAAGGCTAAAGAACAGAAATGATGAGGCATCATAGTAAGAAAGTTTTAGCGTAAGCTAAGAATAGTCTACACAGAAAAACAAAGAAACAAAAACCACAGAATACATGAAAAAGGAAAGCTCTCAGCACTAAATGCATGCAACTCCTGATTTCTATTAATAACACTTGCACTTGTAACTGCCACCTAGATGCAAACTGGGCACTTAACCAGTGGTCACCAAACAGTGAGAATCTATAAATAGATCTACCCTTCTTCACATGGTAATCCTCTCATAATTACATCAATACCATATTCAAATATCTTCTATTAAAGCCTTCTTTGATTTCTTACACTTAATCACTGTTTATACATTTCTATTTTGTACCAATCATACAGAAATTTTGGTTTTCATATAGATCTTTCCTACTAGACTGTGAACTTGATGTTTCCATTTTCCTGTGTATTCCACACGCCTAATACAGTTCCTGCCACATAGGCAGTATATAACATTCTACAGAAGAATGAAATGGGTGTTATGTAGGACAGATGAGAAGAGAGAAATATTAGACAATTACCAATAATCCTTGAGTGAACAGATAAAAGCATAGGTCTGGGCTAATAAAGAAAGGAATAAACAGGTTCATTATTTCAAAAGCAAGAAACTGCAAGGATGAATAAGTCAAAAACATTTGATTTTCTTTCCTGTAGTTCAAATTATCTTTTTTTTTTCATTTATCTTTATTAGTTGGAGGCTAATTACTTTACAATATTGTAGTGGTTTTTGTCATACATTGACATGAATCAGCCATGGAGTTACATGTATTCCCCATCCCGGTCCCCCCTCCCACCTCCCTCTCTACCCGATCCCTCTGGGTCTTCCCAGTGCACCAGGCCCGAGCACTTGTCTCATGCATCCCACCTGGGCTGGTGATCTGTTTCACTATAGATAATATACATGCTGTTCTCTCGAAACATCCCACCCTCGCCTTCTCCCACAGAGTCCCAAAGTCTGTTCTGTACATCTATGTCTCTTTTCCTGTTTTGCATATAGGGGTATCACTACCATCTTTCTAAATTCATCACAGCACTGTTTATAATAGCCAGGACATGGAAGCAACCTAGATGCCCATCAGCAGATGAATGGATAAGGAAGCTGTGGTACATATACACCATGGAATATTACTCAGCCATCAAAAAGAATTCATTTGAATCAGTTCTAATGAGATGGATGAAACTGGAGCCCATTATACAGAGCGAAGTAAGCCAGAAAGATAAAGATCAAATTATCTTTTTATGCCAAAAGTTAAGATGTTCTATTAAAAAGGGCCAGAAGCATTGAGCACACTAAGTGCTCAGACCCTGGTTTCTAAACACCATTCCCTATGAAGAAATAATGATTCTTTAAAGAAATAGTTGACTCCAAACCTGGAGCATAGAAAGAACAAGTCGATCATGAGAACTCTTGCGTCAGAAAACAAGGAAATCCTCTAAAACCAGTAGGATTTATCAAAAGGACCAAGGATCAAGTTAAAGGGGATCCCACTGGTCACATTTATGACAAGTTGAGAACTCTAAACAAACAAACAACCCTAACTGAGTGTAACATATTGAACAAACAAAAAATGAATCTATGATGATACTTCGAGGAAGAGCAATGAGGAAGAGGGGTGGGGTGGGATAGGTAAAGGAAATCTCTTCTTTACAGAGGAATGCCTGTAAGT